GGGCGAGCGCTGATGTCGGAATTGGCTGTTGCTGCTCCGCTTTCCTGAGCTCCCCTGTTTTGTTGGGGTCGAGCTCGGGGAGCCATTGTTTCACCTTGCATGTCGAGGGCTGTAAGTTCCCGCTTTTCCAGGTCCGCAACTTCGGTTGCTTTTGGGACCGCCGTCTTACTTGCACAGGACTAGGCCTCTACGCAGCGAAGTGAAGAAGAAGCCTAGGGCCCTGCAGCCAAAACGACCACCGCGAATGATGCATCAGCATGGCGCAAGCAGGCTTCGCCCTCGGGCTCTGTTTGCGAGTTAAGGCACCCCCTAACTTTGAGAAACTCCGATGTGTCCTGGGCCTGAGAGCACCGCATCGTACCAAGGCCAGCATGGTGCAGCCAAAGTAGAGCACCTCTACCACGCTTAAGAGTCCATGCACCTACAGCGTATATACTTTGGCTTTAAAGGGGTTACCCTAACCCCAAACCCTCGACCCTAAACCCCAATACCAAAGTTCCCTTGTTCAAAACGCATGCTTTGGGGCAAGCCGTCCTGCTTTCTATGCCTCCAACGCTAATCATTCGTGTCCTGCGATGTCATACGATCTTATCTTCCATCTTCAAGCATGCCATGTCACCACTGTTCTGCGTAGCATCAGAAACCCCCGATAGCGTGTTTGCCCTTAGTGTTCGTGTCATACTTAATCAAATTTGATTTGTCCGAAATATCACTATCGTCGGCATTATCCTTATTGCCAGCATAATTTTCCTTTGTTGTCATTAGCATTATCATGCCATGATTATGTATGCTGCTGTCGCCGCTGGCAGTACTTTCTGGCCACTACAAAAAACTGGGTAACATAATCACAATCACGCTAACTGTTGTACTGTCTCTTTATCTTATTCTTAGGACTTTGACTGGAGATTCGGAGATTCACGGCGGCCTCCCTCACGAGCACCGCGATGGCCATCACCACCTCGGACCCATCTATGCTGCTGCTCTTGAAAGTGGAGCTCTGGTAAATTCTGGCAACTTACTGGTGCTTAAGGGGGATTGGGAGAACATTCTTTTCGTAGCCCCCCTCATAGTAGCTGAAAGTAATCCTGGTATCCCGTCCTCCAAACTTCACAAAAGCACCAGCAAGGTAAGGGTTTATAATTTATAATTCAGTCTCTAGACTTCCCTTTTCTCTCCCTAAGCCCTAAAGGCTGAAACGCTCCACCCACGACTTATGAAGGCGCTCTTGCAGTCGATGGAGGCCCTACACTTTGGGCTCCTGAGCCTTAAAGCTGGGCTTTCGACAATCCGTAAACCCTCAACTCCAAGCCCTAAACCCTTAACCCCTAACTAACCCTTAAACCCGCACAGCGAGCCTGAAAGTCGGAGCCGGAGCGGAAATATGGATCGTCGCTCCAACCATACAGAAGGAGGGCCTCAGCATGCCAGCAGTTCAGCAATGTCCTTGCGATCACTCCACCCAACATAGGGCTTTACATCGTTGAAAAGATCTTGTAGGGCTTTTTGAATAAGGATCTATGTGGTTTCAAAGGGCTTTAGCCTACATTAGTGTATTTCATGAAAGTGTTCCATGACAAGCTACAGGGGTTTACAAGGCTCAATGTAAGGGCCTCAGGATTTCGACTAGAGTTTTGGCTTGTGTCGTACTGTACTCTGTACTTCTATTGGGACTGCTAACCACTAAGGTAGCTATAGCACTTCCAGCAGCCATTCAAGAACCTTGGAGTGTTGACATGATCTCCTCTCTTTCGCAATGTGCAGTTGGTACTGCCCCCAGCCTATAAGAGGGCTTCTATTAAGGGCCGCATATGGGTATACTTTAAACATTATTCGGCTGTTGCTGAGTGGGGGCAGCATCCAAATCTGCAGTCCTTTCCGGGACATGCGCATAAGCTGCAGGCTGCATCCAGTGCCAGAAGACGAGCCTGAGCTGAGCAGAATGAGCTTCTATGGGGTCTTGTAGGGTTTTATGATCATCCCAATAGTATCGCTCCAAATAGTAACACCTGCGGTTATAGGGTCTTATAGGGTTGTATAAGGACGCCAATAGTATCGGCCCCAAGTTGTAACACTCCTGAATGGAAACCCCGAGAAAGAGACTGTGCAAACCACTCGAAAGGCTTCCAAAAAACTCCGAATGACGTCATGTCCTTCGTAGAAAAAGACGACGTCGAGGCGGTTAACTGATACAGTAGAAACGTCTGAAAATTGAACTACCAGCGGGGGCCTCTGGAGCCCTTGCAGGAACCACATATTTCGTTGAGGGTCCATCCGCTCATATAGTATATACTTGAGGCCTCAAGTACCAAGCTAAGATAGGGACTACTTAGTGGCTACTTTCAGGCAAAGTATACCGAGCCTACCGAAACCTACCTTTCTGGGTGATCCCTGTGGCTCCATAAAAAAGTGCATAAGAAGAACCAACAAAAAAGTCCGTTTTGGTAGCTAAGATATACCATATCAGTACATGGACCTTTGCATGGGGATATACTGGGGGGGCCTTAATAATTGGAAACATACTGAGGAACTGTTTGTATTATTTACGACCTTAAGGAGGTAGCGGGCAGGGGGGTAGGGGGCTTTAATGCCTATAATACGAATTAATTAATGAGGCCTGTTTAAGGAAGTATAGTCCCCTACCCCCTCCCCCTTTAAGGCCCCTATGATATTATGAGCATAACATTTTACTCTAAATATATACTTAGGAACTGTTATTATCTTAGGCCCCTCTATCATGAGCATCACAGGCCTCAAGGCCGCCAGGACGGTCAGCTGGCAGTCGTCTGTCGCGTCAAGTCGCGCTTTCGCCTGGGTGGCTGAGACGCTGAGGCCTTTTTCTTTGGGGTTTTGGGTTTTGGGGTTTAAGGTTTAGGGGTGTGGGGCACTACGACCAGGACGACGACGACCACCAAAAGACGGCATGCATTGCGGGCACCAATTCCTGCTTGCACTTAATGTCAGAACCCCATAGTGTGTGCCCCCCTGTTCCGGCAAAACTCCTAACACTCTGAAGTTAAACCCTAAACCCTAAACCCCAACAACTCTAAACCCTAAGCTCTTTCAGGCTCTATCACCCTTATAGTGAACCATGGCCCCTGCCCCTAGCACCCTAAAGTCCAAAACCACTTCGCGCTAAGCCACAAGGCCTGAAACAGAACACCTTTCAACTCTGCACAGCCCTGCCCTGAGTGCTGCGAAACAATTACAGTACCCCTCAAAAGACCTTAAAACGAACCCTGAACAATCGCGTCCCTACAACTATAACATAATGCAGCGGCCGCTACTATTACTACTATTACTACTATTACTCCGAGCGCTGGCCTCACGCCAGGACAGGCCGCGCTCCGATGCTAAGACGGAGGCCTCGCCAGGTTTCAAGGGCCCTAGTGTGCCCTGAGGGTTTACGGTCATGGAGGGACCCTTAATTGGGGACCCCTACCCTATAATGGGCTATATAATGGGTATATAGTGGCCATATTAAGGGTACAGTATTTTACCTAGGGGTCCTTATTAAGGGTCCCTTTTAAGGCACTGTTGAGATGAACCTACCATTTGGCGGCGAGGCAAAACACTCCAACGGCTTTTTTTACTCATGTCCTAGCTCCCAAACGTGTGTGCGCAGTGCTCTTTGAAAGCGCTTAAAACCCAGAGAGCCCAATACCTACTAAGAAGGAATGCCCCTCGACTAATAACCCTAAACCCTAAACCCTAATCCCTAAACCCTATATAATCCCTAGAACCTAAACCCATTTGCATCCGATCGATGGCACTAGGCTCTCTGAGAACGCCCTTGCTTTCAAGCGGGGGCATTTCACACGGAGCGGATAACTACAGTGGAAAATGGCTCGTCAAGTCTGGGGCATCTGCAGCGCATGGGGCCATGGCTTGGCCATGGGGGAGCGTAAGCAGAGCCCGTTAAAGGTTGCTGAGTCTAGTTTTAGTTTGGTATTGTAATATACCTATGTAAATAATGCACACACACACACACATATATATATATATACCTACCGGCATGTCTGTCTAACACACGTCTAACATTATGTTTTACTGTATAACTGGCGCACTCAGGCATGCTCGTGCAGCTTCAGCGCCCTTTTCCTGGCAGCCTCGTAGAGGAGCGTCTCCTGCGCTGCCAACTCCTGGATCACGGCCATGTGCGTGGCTGGGATCTCGCAGTCCTTGGGGTAGGAGTTCGTGTTCATCTTTTCCTTCTTCATCTGCCAGAAAGCCTGTTTCAGCTGCGGGAAGTGCTTCACAGCGGCCGAGTAGGTGTCCTGCTTGTCGACCAAGATCGGCACGCAAGTCGCAAGATTGCGCAGCGTGCTGTTCCAAATCTGCATCCGGGCCTTTTTGTCGGTGGCATCCGCATGCGTCTGCACACCGCACTGACCCAGTCGGCGGAAAGGCTCGTTCACGCAGCCGTAGTTCACGAGAAGGGTCTTGAGCTTCTGCGGGTCCAACTTCGCCATGCAGAAAGGGGCCACCTTTCTCTTGGCGACCAACCGCTGCGAATAACAGGAGGTAATACGAGCCACTGGCTCGCGGAAGTTTGTCAGGCAGGACACTTCCTGTACGGCCGTTTCCGAGAATTAGGGGTACCATTCTTTGGGTCCTTATATAATAAGGATCCTACTATTCAGGGTACAATACTAGGGTCCCCTATTTTCGGAAAATCGTATACTGAACTTGGCGAACTTGGTACCACTTGGTGAACTTCGTACCCATGAAAAGATTAGAGATTTGGCTGTTTCCTCGAAACTAACTGCAATAGCAAAAAAAGGAACAGTGTTTCCAAGTACCCCTAAGCTTCCTTGCCGGACAGAGAAGTCATCATCTCCCGCCAGCAGAACTCACCACCGTAGACCGCAGCATCAGTAACATTGTTCTTGAAGGCTCTGCAGCTGACCCCTCCGGAGCACAGAATATGAGGCTTCATCTTCTGACCTGGACTCTTGTTAAGGAATTTAGTTTGAGTTACCATAGTAGTGATCTAACGATAGTAAATAGTATGGTTTCCTGATCATGGTAACTTGAACTAAGTCCCTTAACAAGAGCACAGTGACTCATGGAGGTGTTGTACAGGAGCTTTCGCATCGTCGTGCCACCTGCGCGATGCTGATGCATGAACACCAGGGGTCGCGTGCTGGAAATCTCAGGGTTCATCTTCGGAACCGGCATGTCCAAGAACTTGGTGATCATCTCCGGCACGAAGTCTTCGGAAGCGTTCTTCCCATGAAGATGAGAGTGGGAGCCCTGTTGGGAGGCCCACTTTCCGGAGGCACCGGCATGCTTTCCCTTCGCAGGGCTCTTTGCAGATCCCTTCTTGGAGGCGCTGTGGCCGCTGTGGGCAGCGCCCGAAGCCTTGGGAGAAGCCTTCTTCCAGCCCTCCTTCTCCTCACTCTCCTCGCGCGCGACCTTGTGCACCTTGTGGCTCTGATGCGCCTTGTGGGTCTGATGTGCCTTGTGGGTCTGATGCCTCGCGATCCCGACCTGCGTCTCCGAACCCACCTGCAAAGCACATTGGCTGTCGTGATCGGCCTCAGGGTTCGAGACACCCACTGCCAGCAATGCTGGAAGGATGTAGAGCATGGTGCGCATCATGCTGGGCGAGTTGGGTGCCTGGTCTTCCTGAAGATTGGGTTCGGTGTGCTGCTTCTGAGCCGAAGGCTTCGATGAACAAAACAAAGGACACGAGCATGACAAAGCATCGGCTCACATCGCGCGAATCGGCTAAACATCAACATTGTGCAAACGTCTCAAGCAACTCTGCTTTCGTGTGGCACGCTACTGCGCCAACATCGCCATGTCAAGCATCGTATGCCTTCCCACATTTCAGCAACAGCCGCATGCCTCCCCGACGCCACGGCCGCAAACACATGCGTGGCAAGCTCGTCGCAGAAAGCCCTGACACGAGTCTTGAACGTGCTTGAAAGTTGGAGTGCCGCACTCAATCACGACCATATGCCGATGTTGCTATAATCGTGGCACCTTGTAAGATGCTACTATGCTGTAAGCACGGGCAAAAGCAAGCCTCCACAAAGCTTGTTGCTCCACGGAGGACGTAAGAGGCAAGGAAACCAATGAGCATGCTGATCTCCTGACATCGTTCTTTTTAAGGTTTCATGATTGAAGATTTGGGGTTTAGGGTCTATGGCTGCTGCCATTGTACAGTGCTGCCATCCCTGTCAATTTCATTGCTAGTGGGCATTACTGCTACGACTACGTCGAGTGCTGTCATCACCACGACTATGGTGATGCCAGCTAGCTGTCTTCATGGATGATTGCTCTACAACTGAGATCAACACCTCAGTAGCACTAGTATTAGTAACAGCAGCATGGCAGTAGGAGTATTTGCAGCAGCGGCAGCAGTAGCAGCAGCAACAGTAGAGGTGGCAGCAGCGGCAGCAGCAGCAGCAGCGGCAGCCGTAGCAGTAGCGGTAGCAATCAGTACTGTAGGCGTAGGAGTCGGAGTAGCAGTAGTAGTATTAGTAGTAGCAGTCGTAGTAGCAGAAGTAGAAGAAGTAGTAGTAGCAGCAGTTACTAGTACTAGTAGTCGTAGTGGTCGTCCCTCATTCTGCAAGAGAGCGCAACCTATTCAATCTTATCCGAGCGATTAAAGGTTCAGGGTTCAGGGTTCAAGGTCTGGGGTTTAGAGCTTCGGGTTTGAGTACTCTTACAACTATTCACTGCAGGCACTTTACGATTGGTCAATGACTAACCTTTCTGTGTCGAAACAGCTTACATAGGGCGGATCTTTGACTCACCGTACTCGAAAGGTACATCCACCCTTGTCGATCACATTCGTCCTGGCGGGTCTTCGCAGGCGAAAGCCCGTCCATGGCGCCACAGAGTCTCGACGACGCAGGAAGCTTATGATAATAAAGATAAGACGAGAATCATACTGGTAAGAACACAGCAAGTAAAGCAATGATAATGTTACTGATGAGAAAGGTAAGAAAACTAATCGTGATAAAACTGACAAACAAAAACAAAACAATCATGTTGAAAACAATGCTCGCAGCAATGCCCATTGTCATACTCGTGGAAACTAATGATCATCATGGTACTACTAGTAACAATCGAGCCAGTACTACTGTTACAACTACGATGATGGCTACTATGAATTGGCGATAATAGCAACGAGTAGTCATGATAGTTCAATCAATAACAACTATAAACATGTTCTTAATCATTATGATAAAAACCAATGGTGATATCTTCTGAACATCATGCCCCAGCTTTGTCCACCCTCGGGGACTTTGTTTTCCATTGCGAAGAACTGGTTTGAGCAGAGATGCTTGTCTCCGTGGTCTCCGTGTGCAGCTTGTTTGCCTGTTGTGGTGCAGGGTGTTCTGTGTGTGTGTGTGTGTGACTTCTTCATCTGGTGGAAGACAAATCCGAAACCACCCAAGCCCATTTGCACTATCACCCTGGGCCTCTGAAGGTTTGCTTAAAGCCAGAGACGCGCCGCGCAACAAGCAATGCAACTGCCAGAGCATATAACAAGTTGTTGGACTTAGTTTTTCGACGTAATGTATGACAGTTCGTTCCACGTATCCCCTGTCGTACCTTCCATATATACCTGGCTTATACCGTATACCTGTCTTGAGCTTGATACTCCTAAACCCTGAAGCAGCAAAAGACGGACTCCTGAACAAACGCTGCTATCCTAGGCTCAACTGCAGACTCGTGTGCACATGACGCATGATGCCAGCAGCATCATGACCATCTCTGGTCGAGCCATGTAAATCACGTAGGCAGGCACGGCGGGACCACAATTTTTCACGAGAGCCACAGTGGCAGCTCTGTCTCTCGGCAAAGCGTTCCCGCCGATCTCATGGGAGGGGGAATGGCTATATGACTGACTGTGACAGACCATGTGAGATGAGCCCAGCACACAAGGATTTGTGTCTCCGCGCACAACAAAAAGATTTAGAACGAATGCCTGGGAGATACATGGGGAGACATGACGGTGATTTGAACAACATGCAGATACCCAGAGGCCCCAAAGTAGTTCCTTTTTGGGATTGCCCTATAGGCTTCTATATACGAACCCCAAAAAGGAACTACTTTGGGGCCTTTGGATAAACCAAGCAGCCGAATCTCTGGCAACGAGGATGGCTTTGACCGGCGTCAAAACTCCTGCAGATTCATCCGACAGGAGACGTAACTACTCTGCCCACGCATGCATATGCGTTGCTCTAGGAGGCCTTGTGCATCGTTTTGCAATGCTGGCATATTCCCACTGTGGTCAAAAAGCCTGCTACGCCATCCGCTTTGGTTGCGGCAGGCACAAACGAGTTGTGGCGGGAAGAGCGCCCAAATCCAGAACTCGCAGATTGCGAGGATTGGACGTAGGGCCGCATTCTCTGCCTGCACCTCATGGCTTCACCATCGGCACCGACAGCAATAACAACTTTGGCTGCTTGCAGCTAGAGTGCAGCTCTGCTAAAGTTTCACACCAAGGGGCCAAAGGGCACGCGCTCAACATGAGTGCGGCCGCCTAGCTCGAATCATGCGCGTGGATGGCGAGAGCTCGCTTCCTCGCAGCCTCGTAGAGGAGCGTCTCCTGCGCTGCCAACTCCTGGATCACGGCCACGTGCGTGCCTGGGATCTGGCAGTCCTTTGGGTAGGAGTTCGAGTTCATCTTCTCCTTCTTCATCTGCCAGAAAGCCAGCTTGAACTGTGGGAAGTGCTTCACGGCAGCCGAGTAGGTGTCCTGCTTGTCGACCAAGACCGGCACGCAAGTAGCAAGATTCTCGAGTGTGTTGTTCCAAATCTGCATGCGCGCCTTCTTGTCGGTTGCATCCGCATGCGTCTGCACGCCGCACTGACCCAGTCGGCGGAAAGGCTCGTTCACGCAGCCGTAGTTCACGAGAAGGGTCTTGAGCTTCTGCGGGTCCAACTTCGCCATGCAGAAAGGGGCCACCTTCTTCTTCTGGACCAGCCGCTGTGCGTAGCACGATGTAATGCGGGCCACCGGCTCGCGGAAGTTCGTCAGGCACGAGACCTGCTTGCCGGACAGAGACGTCATCATCTCCCGCCAGCAAAACTCGCCGCCGTAGACTGAGGCATCAGTGACCTCGTTCTTGAACGCTCGGCAATCCACTTTTCCGGAGCACTGGATGTGAGGCTTCATCTTGAGGGCAAGCGACGTGTTGTACAACAGCTTTCGCATGGTAGTGCCTCCAGCCCGATGCTGGTGCATGAACACCAGGGGCCGTGTCGCGGACACGTCCTCGTTCTTCGGGGGAAGGGGCTTCTTCAGAAAGCTCTCGATCATAGCCACCACATAGTCCGTCTGGTTCGCCGAGCCCTTGCCCTTGCCTTTCGAGGCACCGGCATGAGCCACTGCCTTGGACTCCTTCGCCTTGTTGCCAGGCTTCTCAGCCTCGGCGGCATGAGCCTTGGAAGCCTTCGCGGTTGCATCAAGGGCTGCAGCGGGCTTGGTATCGGTCTCCGCCAAGGCAACCGCCGGCTTTGGCGCCTCCTGCACCTCCGCCTGACCATAGGAGGGGGCAGTCGCATCCTTGTGGCCGAAGATGTCCTCGAAAGTCCACATCTCCGTGCTGGCTGCCACCGAGACGCCTGCGCTGGACTTGCTGGCTGCCTTCGTGCCAAGCTGCATCGCACACTGGCTGTCGGTCTCGGCGGCAGCGCCAAGTGCAAGCGCGACTGCGCAGGTCAACCTTGCGAAGATCATGTCGGCAGCTGGGGGAGTTCGCTCACGATTCTCGGTTCAATAAGCTGCAAAAGCCAAAGGGCTGCGAAAGAGGCCTTTGGAAATCGATGACATGATGATAAAGGGGAGTCCGTGTGAGCACGGATAATTGGTTGGATAAAAACACTAATTAATGATATCTAGGTTCATCTCCAACTCTATCTCTATGTATATCCATATGTATATCTATATCTGTATCTACATGTAATCTATCTGTTTATCTCTGTATATACACATACATACATATATGACTGTAAGATATACGGAAGCAAGCATAATTCAAGCATAACTGGGTGGGCAGTTGCACGTCGAGCCAGTGGCATGCACGAATCTTTTTGGTGCTATGGGGTCGGGACATAAACCCGAAACGCACATGCTATCTCCGCCCTATACAAACCCTTGCTCCACACAAACACTCTCTCTATGTCTCCGTATACACACACATATACATGTCACAAAACATTTGTAGATGTATGTATGCATATATGTACATATGTATATATGCGTGCTCATATGTCTATTTCTTACTTATGAGTTTATTAGTTGAATGATATATTGATGTGTGTATGTGTGTGTATATACATACATATATATACATATATACAAACACGTGTATGTGATATGCTTATGTACTTAAACATAAGCATAAACACACACACACAGACAGAGACAGACTTGTCAATATGTACACATGCATGTATGCATGCACATATGTCCTACGGAGCCCGATACATGCCTCACCGTAGCTCCTTGTAGAGTACCGCGCCACTGCAACCCGAGCAGCTAACTGCTGGCGGCTTTGCGCTGGACACCTGAATCGGCTGCAAGGCTTGGGGTGCGGTGTTTGAGCCGCAGGCCGGGTTTGAGGCTCATTCCTTACGGCTTACAGTTTAGGGCTTCGGATTAATGAGGGCCTTTACGGACACTGAGGTTTGCGAGGTTTTGATCGCTGTGACTGCACAGCTTGTTGTTGAAGATATGCACCGCTGCTCATGCATCCAGCAGCAAGGATCACCTTCTCCAACTTGCCCGGCGCTCGTGCTTCGATCCTTTTTCACCCATCCTCAAAGCTTTGGATGGACGACGCGCCGAACCCTGGTGGAAAGGCGCGCAGAAAGAGTGCCTCGCAGAACCCGCCATCCGCTGGGTTGCGTCCTTCCGAAAGGATGCGGGGCACTCTCACAAGAGCATATACAGACGTCCTCCCAAACCGGAGTGCGAAAAGAACGGACCACCTGAATCCACAAAGCACTGGCTGGCGACCCTGGTCTTATTCAGATGCGATTCATTCCTACGGTTGGCATAGTCAATTATGTTTCGAAGGGTCTGGGTCAGGGCTGCGTGGGGCAGGGATCACGCGAAAGCCAGTCGACCCTGCAAACAAGGGCCCGGCAAAATTCGTGGGGACCAAGATACCAAGCAGTAAGCGAAGTCCCCACAATAGCAGAGAGCGGCACTTGAATTAGTTTGAATTACAGCTGTCACATTCTTAAGCCGTGCACTCACCAAGCCTGGCGAACAGAAGGCTGCTCAAGGTCGGGGCTCGGGAGGACGTTCAGCTTCCTGGGCTCCACGGGCATCGTCGCTTCGACCTCCTTGAGACGCCGATGGAAATCCTCGTCGCCCGTCTGCGAGGCCACGAAGTGCTGCAGGAAGGCTGGGAGCTTCTCCCAGGCGCCCGGAATGTACAAGAAGACGCGGCCAGAGAAGATCATGAGGAAACTCCAAACCAGCAAAGCTCCCAGCACACCGACTTCGATCTTGTATGTGGTGATCTGCAGCAGGATGCAAATCGTGGAGGGGATGGCCTGCATGTAGTCCGTCCAGTCGATGTCCTTCACTCCCTCGATCATAAAGACGCCCACCATCACCAGTGCCGGTCCTGTGGACAGGGTGGGGACGGAGGAGAGCAAGGGCGTCATGAAAATGCAGATGAAGTTCAGGAAGGCGATCACCAGAGCAGTGAGACCAGTGCGGCCACCCTCGTAGACACCGGCCATAGATTCGCCGTAAGTGGTCACAGAGCTGGTGCCTAGGAAGCCCCCGACGAAAGTCCCGACGGCATCAGCCATGAAAGCCGCGTAGCACCCGGGAAAGGTCTCGGGCTTCTTGGGGTCCACCAGCCCACTGAGGTCTGCGGCTGCATACAGGAAGCCCATGGTGCCGATGAAATCGATGTAGAGGAGGGTGAGCAGAGGATTCCAGAAGCCCTGCCAATCCCCAAAGCCCGAGAAATCCCAAGCCAAGATCGTTCCACCGGAGACATCGCCGCTGACGCAGTTGTTGCCATCGGCATCGCAACCTCCCCATCCGGAAAAGGGAGCCACCAAAGGCCCTGCGACATCGATCAAGGGAACGGAGGCAAAGGCGCTGGGAGCACTGAAGATCTTCGGAATGCGCCCAGCTCCTCCGATGCAGCCCTCTCCGAACTCGTCGAGCACGAGCTTTGAGCTAGCCCGGCTCTGATAGGACATCGAGGTCCAGCAGCCCGTCTCCACCAAGACTGCATCGAAGCAGGCTGGGTTGAAGCCACCCATCATGGCATGGCACGTGTCCGTGCATCCACCTTTGAAAGATGAATCCCTCCCGGCAGCAATGCCCTCGAAGTAGAGGCTGCCACTGTGGTTCCGGGAAGATGCGCCGTCCGTGATGGTGTAGACGCCGTTGGCACTCGACACGGATGCGGAGGACACGAAACTGAAGGACGAGCCAGCATCCGTGGTCTCCATCTTACCGTAGCCCGGGACTGTGAAGGGGTTCTCGCATGTGGGCTTCGGGTAGAACCCACCGCCGGGCTTGGGATACCACTCCACACCCCCATTCGACGGCTCCGTGTAGGAGACGCTGCCTAGGCAGCACATGGGCTTGTAGGAGAACTGCTCCACCGCCGTCGCCTGCAAGATCCAGGAGAGACACGCACTGAGGAGGATGCACACCATCACGGCGCCCCTCACGCGCAAGAGGATCAGAAGGCTCATGAGGCAAAAGAAGCCGATTCCGATCCAGGTTCGCAGGAAATGCTCGCCTGTGAGTGTGACGAGGTCGACCAATACCGCCGGATGGTCCCGAACGATGTCGATGCCGTTGCCCGCCTGCAGGCCGATGAAGGCCAAAAACAAGCCGATGCCTGCCATGGTGGCCTTCATCATCCATGTCGGGAAGACCTTGAAGACGTAGCGCCGAATGTCAAGGGCCGACATGAGAATGAAGATCACGCCCTCGACCGTCACGGCCAGCATCACCTTCTTCACTGCGTTCTGGCCGCCCTTGAAGCCCACGATGGTGTAGGCGAAGTAAGCATTCATGCCCATACCAGGCCAAAGGCCAAAGGGCAAATTCGCCCAGAGTGCCATGATCAGCGTGGCCACGCAGCTGGACGCGGCCGTGGCGAAGACGAGGCCGTCGAAGTTCAGGCCGGTGGTGCTCCTTGCTGTCTTTGGGGCGTCTGGGCACTATATCACAATCATGGAAATCACTGACTCCCTATAGACCTTACAGTAAGCCCGCATGAAGGAACCTTGCCAAGCTAGCAGTCAGCTAATTCACTTCTTTCGTCTTCTAGGACGCGACCTGGAGCGTCGTTCTAGGGCTTCCAAGGCTCAGGATGTTCGGGTTCACGGCCATGATGTAGGCGGCCGTGAGAAAGGTCGTGACCCCGGCACGGATCTCTGTCGTGAGATTGGAGCCTCTTTGGGACACCCGGAAGTAGTTGTCCATTCTTGAGCCCCGGAACTTCTTGTCCAAGGTGTTGTCGACCAGCTCCTTCTTGCCCTTGGCGCCCACCTTGAACTCAACCACCTCCACATCTGCCATTTCTTGAGTGGAAAGGGGACAGGGAGATGGGAAGGGCAGCTGCAATCGGAAGTGTCGCTCGAGCCGCGAAGATAAATGGGCCGTGAAGACTCGTCCAGCGTGTGATGCAAAAGAGCATAGAAGCAACAAACGCGCATACATGGTTGTGCCGATACATTGAACCAGCATCGCAAGTCTTGCACAACCAGAGCCGAGAAGCACTATCGTTCACGATGCAATGCCGTTCTGCACATCGCTGGTCGTTGTCCTGATGGTGCTCCGAAGGAATCTATATTAACTATATATCGGGCTCGGGGCTTTAAGTTTGCTGGCTGCGGGTTACTTCCCACAACAAGTTTCTCAGGGGGCAGAGGATGCTTTAGCTGCTTTAAATGGTAGTAGCTTACCAGTGCATATCCAGCAAATTGGTTCTGTGTCCATGGGAACAAGGAATGCAGTTGACGATGGCAGCACAACATATCTCATCACGAGGTTCAAGGCAAGACAGCCAACAAGCTCAAGGCAAAACCAGACGCCTCACACAGGAGCGTACCCTAACAAGCCGATCACACGTGCAGTTATAGAGCATGATAATAGTACTGTTCCTTAAGCGCATATAAACCCTATACTACAGCACCCAACTCCCAGTAACTTGCTACATAGGCATAGGCAACTGGGCTCTTCTGGATATCGGACAAGTGCCCAGCACCCTTCGACTTTTTGCCGAACACTGGGCAAGGCATCGCAACTGGTGAGGTTTATCACTTCAGGGCTTAGGGTTTTGATTTCCAGAGGGCCTATGTCCTACATGGACCTGAGGGAGCCCAGGCTCTCCGCACGGCTAAGGTTATGGGTTTAGGGTTTGGGGTTTATGGTTTAGCGTTTTGGGTTTTGTATAAACACATCTCTGAAATGTGCGAGGTCTTATCGAACCGTGAGAGACTTGTTTGATAAAGCTCCTTCAGCAAGCCTCAAAGAACCCCTATTCCCTAACCCCTAAACCATTAAATGACCTCTTTCCAGAACCCTATACCCTCAGCCCGAAACCCTGAACCCCTAGACCCTAAACGATCCCTAAGTTCCTGAGGCAGCTTCTCAATGCCAGGGCCCACCGGCCGATCTGCTCGCAGGCTTTGATGGTGCTGCTGAAAGAGAACCTAGGATGGTTTAGGGTTGAAGGGACTTTTGCCGCTGCCGTTCGAAGGGATCTATACGGGTGTCTAGACAGGTTTAGTGTGGGGGGGGGGGTGTCGTACAGCGACTTCAACAATGTTAGTTAGAGGGGGTGAGTTTCGAAGCCCAAATGCAAGGGTCTCTATCTCTGGGTATGGGGCTGAGGACTGACAGGTTTACGGCCTGTAGCGTTTTGGGGCGCATGGTTTCGGTGCTCACCCTCTGACCATCTTCGCGCGGAATGTGGTGGCTTAGGGTTTAAGGGTTTTGAGGTTATTTTACGCTTTAGGACTTAGGATATTGGTGGCTTTACGGTTTCAAGGTTTTGGGTCGAGAGTATTATCCACGCGTCGGTCTCCGGCATACTACAACAGCCTTAATGGTTGGGATCGTCAGACAACTAAAATTAACCCAAAAGGATACAATAATGTGTTGCATTGGTAATTTAAAGTCCGGATAGACCCCGGTGGACAATGGTTTATAGAGTTCAGGACTTGTCAACTCCCGATTTGTGCATTTAGGGCCGTTATAGATTACGAAAGGTAAGACAAATCCCTAAAGCCCTAAATCCGGAGTTGAATCCCTAAACCCTGACCGCAACACCAAAAACCCTAAACACTGAACCTCACGCCCTGAAGCCCTAAACCCTAAACCACTAGACTTCTAAACCCCTACACCCCCAAACCATAAACCCTAAAACCCTAAACCCCTTAACTGTAAATACCCTTCAACCCAAAACCCATTTGAAACCGGATTTGATGACAAACCCCTAAACCGTAACCCTTAAACCCTAAACCCTAAACCCCTTAGCCCTTTCAAAACGGACTTGATGACAAACCCCTAAATCCTGAACCCTAAAAGCTCAACCCGACACGTTGTCAACTCAGGAGCTCGTTAGGCAGCACGGTGTCTCGCTCCATGACGCCCAGGAGCTCCTCAGAGCGAAGCGAGCAGAAGTTGAGGCTTCCTTCTTTTGCTTCGCGGAAGGGTGACGTAGGGGCAATGAGAATAGGGTTTTGAAGGTTCCTTACTATATTTTTAAATCTACCCCCAAACCCTATTCTAATCATTAAGGCCTCGATCGTGCCCGTAATCTTCTCGTGTTCTAAATGTTCTGTAAGGGCTCTTTAAGGGTTTTCAGGTATCGGCCTCATCCAGAACTACTAAAATACTGACTGTAAGTCTTCCTGTTAGGATCGCCATGCGGCCTCTATGAGGGCTTTGGGGATGTTGGGCAGAAGAGGGTTTAGGGCTTAGGGGGCGGCTTAGGGTTTTAGCTGTAAGAACCTCAGAACCTTCTTTTGCTGTGGGGGGCTGAGGGTTGCTAAGTACAGGGTTGAGGACCACATACTGTGATACCATGGTAAAGAAATGATATTGTCTACCATGGATCCCTATTCTGGTAACTTAAACTAAACTCCTTAGCAAGAACCTATTGGTGACACAAGAGAGTGTGTACACTGGGGGCACCGTCGTGTGAAAAAGACCAGCTCAGGCGCGGCGAGCCTGCGACACGCCTAAACCCAATCTCACCCTCCAGTATCTCTCTAATCCATATATGTATGGTATGTATACAATCAAGCCCAACGTGCGCTACAAACCTTGCTGCAGGTCCTTGTAGGTATGTGCCAGAACCGGGATCTGTGCGCACTCCCGCACCTTGCAGGTATTGCCGTGCGACGGAAGTGATTCAAGAGGCTTCTCAAAGTTCATGGGATTGTATTTGGAAGTGTATTGCCGACTTCGAAGCAAACATGTGCTGGATCATCCCGAAACGAGATCAGGACTAAAGCCTCTAAACCTCATTGCATACCGTTTCTCACCAGACCGGCTTGCGGCCCTTCGCGGCTGACAGGGTCCAGGGCTTAGACCTTTGAAAGGTCTACGTATGTTTCAGTGCTCCTAAATCATACAGTAGCAGTAGTAGTAGTAGTAGTAGTAGTAGTAGTAGTAGCAGCAGCAGCAGCAGCAGCAGCAGGAGTAGTAGTAGTAGTAGTAGTAGTAGTAGTAGTAGTAGTAGTAGTAGTAGTAGTAGTAGTAGTAGTAGTAGTAGTAGTAGTAGTAGTAGTAGTAGTAGTAGTAGTAGTAGTAGTAGTAGTAGTAGTAGTAGTAGTAGTAGTAGTAGTAGTAGTAGTAGTAGTAGTAGTAGTAGTAGTAGTAGTAGTAGTAGTAGTTTAGTAGTAGTAGCTGTAGTTCATTCTTGCTGGAGATCTGCATCTGCTCGTGCAGCAGCAAGGCTCACCCTGCTCTAACTTGCCTGCCTGGCGCTCGCGCTTCGATCCTTCTTCACCCATCCTCAAAGCTTTCGATGGACGACGCGCCGAGCCCTGGTGGAAAGGCGCGCAGAAAGAGTGCCTCGCAGAACCCGCCATCGGCTGGGTTGCGTCCTTCCGAAAGGATGCGGGGCAGTCTCACAAGAGCATATACAGACGTCCTCCCAAACCGGAGTCCGAAAAGAACGGACCACCTGAATCCACGAAGCACTGGCTGGCGACCCTGGTCTTATTCAGATGCGATTCATTCCTACGGTTGGCATAATCAGTTATGTTTCGAAAGGTCTGGGTCAGGGCTGCGTGGGGCAGGGATCACGTGAAAGCCAGTCGACCCTGCAAACAAGGGCCCGGCAAAATTCGTGGGGACCAAGATACCAAGCAGTAAGCGAAGTCCCCACAACAGCAGAGAGCGGCACTTGAATTAGTTTGAATTACAGCTGTCACTTCCTTAAGCCGTGCGGTCACCAAGCCTGGCGAACAGAAGGCTGCTCAAGGTCGGGGCTCGGGAGGACGTTTAGCTTCCTGGGCTCCACGGGCATCGTCGCTTCGACCTCCTTCAGACGCCGATGGAAATCCTCGTCGCCCGTCTGCGAGGCCACGAAGTGCTGCAGGAAGGCTGGGAGCTTCTCCCAGGCGCCCGGAATGTACAAGAAGACACGGCCAGAGAAGATCATGAGGAAACTCCAAACCAGCAAAGCTCCCAGCACACCGACTTCGATCTTGTATGTGGTGATCTGCAGCAGGATGCAAATCGTGGAGGGGATGGCCTGCATGTAGTCCGTCCAGTCGATGTCCTTCACTCCCTCGATCATAAAGACGCCCACCATCACCAGTGCCGGTCCTGTGGACAGGGTGGGGACGGAGGAGAGCAAGGGCGTCATGAAAATGCAGATGAAGTTCAGGAAGGCGATTACCAGAGCAGTGAGACCAGTGCGGCCACCCTCATAGACACCGGCCATAGATTCGCCGTAAGTGGTCACAGAGCTGGTGCCTAGGAAGCCCCCGACGAAAGTCCCGACGGCATCAGCCATGAAAGCCGCATAGCACCCGGGAAAGGTCTCGGGCTTCTTGGGGTCCACCAGCCCACTGAGGTCTGCGGCTGCATACAGGAAGCCCATGGTGCCGATGAAATCGATGTAGAGGAGGGTGAGAAGAGGATTCCAAAAGCCCTGCCAATCCCCAAAGCCCGAGAAATCCCAAGCCAAGATCGTTCCACCGGAGACATCGCCGCTGACGCAGTTGTTGCCATCGGCATCGCAACCTCCCCATCCGGAAAAGGGAGCCACCAAAGGCCCTGCGACATCGATCAAGGGAACGGAGGCAAAGGCACTGGGAGCGCTGAAGGTCTTTGGAATGCGCCCGGCTCCTCCGATGCAGCCCTCTCCGAACTCGTCGAGCACGAGCTTTGAGCTAGCCCGGCTCTGATAGGACATCGAGGTCCAGCAGCCCGTCTCCACCAAGACTGCATCGAAGCAGGCTGGGTTGAAGCCACCCATCATGGCATGGCAGGTGTCCGTACAACCACCTTTGAAAGATGAATCCCTCCCGGCAGCAATGCCCTCGAAGTAGAGGCTGCCACTGTGGTTCCGGGAAGATGCGCCGTCCGTGATGGTGTAGACGCCGTTGGCACTCGACACGGACGCGGAGGACACGAAACTGAAGGACGAGCCAGCATCCGCGGTCTCCATCTTCCCGTAGCCCGGGACCGTGAAGGGGTTCTCGCATGTGGGCTTCGGGTAGAACCCACCGCCGGGCTTGGGATACCACTCCACACCCCCATTCGACGGCTCCGTGTAGGAGACGCTGCCTAGGCAGCACATGGGCTTGTAGGAGAACTGCTCCACCGCCGCTGCCTGCAAGATCCAGGAGAGACACGCACTGAGGAGGATGCACACCATCACGGCGCCCCGCACGCGCAAGAGGATCAGAAGGCTCATGAGGCAAAAGAAGCCGATTCCGATCCAGGTTCGCAGGAAATGCTCGCCTGTGAGTGTGACGAGGTCGACCAATACCGCCGGATGGTCCCGAACGATGTCGATGCCGTTGCCCGCCTGCAGGCCGATGAAGGCCAAAAACAAGCCGATGCCCGCCATGGTGGCCTTCATCATCCATGTCGGGAAGACCTTGAAGACGTAGCGCCGAATGTCAAGGGCCGACATGAGGATGAAGATCACGCCCTCGACCGTCACGGCCAGCATCACTTTCTTCACTGCGTTCTGGCCGCCCTTGAAGCCCACGATGGTGTAGGCGAAGTAAGCATTCATGCCCATACCAGGCCAAAGGCCAAAGGGCAAATTCGCCCAGAGCGCCATGATCAGCGTGGCCACGCAGCTGGAGGCGGCCGTGGCGAAGACGAGGCCGTCGAAGTTCAGGCCGGTGGTGCTCCTTGCTGTCTTTGGGGCGTCTGGGCACCATCACAATCATGGAAATCACTGACTCCCTATAGACCTTATACAGTAAGCCCGCATGAAGGAACCTTGCCAAGGTAGCAGTCAGCTAATTCATTTCGTACGTCTTGTACGTTCTAGGGCATCCAAGGCTCAGGATGTTCGGGTTCACGGCCATGATGTAGGCGGCCGTGAGAAAGGTCGTGACCCCGGCACGGATCTCTGTCGTGAGATTGGAGCCTCTTTGGGACACCCGGAAGTAGTTGTCCATTCTTGAGCCCCGGAACTTCTTGTCCAAGGAGTTGTCCACCAGCTCCTTCTTGCCCTTGGCGCCCACCTTGAACTCAACCACCTCCACATCTGCCATTTCTTGAGTGGAAAGGGGACAGGGAGATGGGAAGGGCAGCTGCAATCGGAAGTGTCGCTCGAGCCGCGAAGAAATTGGGCCGGAGAGCTTCGTCCTACGGCTGTGGCGAAGTTACGCTTGCGTGCAGTGCATACCAAAAGACAGGCAGAACTCTACACCTGTGCAAGTACAGTGAAGCTTCGCGTTCGCATTGAAAGCCGAGAAGCGGTGACATTCTGCGCACTGCTGGTGGTTCTCCTTGCGGTGCGCGGACAGTCCCAGTAGAAGCTTTGGCATTAGTTAGCTAATCCCGCACGAGAAGCTCGTCTAGCACACATTAGTGTGGGAACATGGAATCCCATTCAAAACCGAAGGACACACATCCAAGCTTATGTTCAACTTAAAGCCTGGTGAGATCTGGTGAGGAGCGAGATAAAACGACATTGGAAACTGGCCCTACCACAGAAGTCCTTCGTCCTCTGCCAACCCTCACGGCATTGCATTGGATGCGGCCCTCATGTGGGTAAACGGCAAAAGGCTCAAAGGACAGTACACATTGCGGTGCAGTATGACAGGATAGCCCTTGTCTGGGCTGAGCGAACCTCCCACAATCTACAAAACCACCCCAAGCCTTTAACCCAAACCCTAAAACAACTAACCCTAAACCTTGAGCCAGTTAACTGCTGCTACTAGTATCTACACTTAACTGCTGCTACTAGTATCTACAAGAGAGCCAGAAGGCTGCAGACCCACTCGGATGACACGATGCTGAGGATATAAAGAGGGCACCATACTTTCCAGACATTCCAAAATCCCCTAATTAAGGAATATACCTTAATTCAAAAGAGGGATCCTATTATACTTTAAGGTATATTCCTTCATTAAGGGATTTGGAAGGTCTGGGTTCTTGAGCAAGAATGAAAGCTCGACGATCTTCTGCCTTTTCTTGCATCTTCCTGAGTGCAGGAACGACACCAACCAGCAAGGACGGAGGTCTCATGCTGGACACTATGCGACAAGACTAAAGATGCGATGACGCCTCTGCTTCCGGATCGAACTACTCAGGCACCGCGCTCTTGCGGCATTCGCGATTGATCGCTCGTGCCCCTCCTCTGACTTGAGTGGTCTGGGCAGGATGCTACAGCACCATCGACCTGGCCAAAATGCATGAAGCTTAGTGGCCAACGGCTGCAACAATCTCTAAACTCTGGACCCACGTGTAAGCCGAACGGTGCACCCACGCCCATACCCCTCAATGAAGGAATATGGCTTAAGATATATAGGGCTTCATATTATGATTTAAGCTATATTCCTTCATTAAGGGGTATCGGAGCCCTAAACCCTACACCCTATAGATCCCTTATAGATCCCTTAAAGGAACCCTAGGTATTCCTTAATTAAGGGGATTCGGCTCTCTGGGAACCCGAGCCTCGACGCGGCCTTACCTGGCAGCGGCAGGCAGGTTTTAGGGCTTTGTGCCGGTTTGGGTCAGAGATCCAGTTTAGGGTTTAGGGTTTTGGGTTTAGGATTTAGGGTTTTGGGTTTAGGGTTTAGGGTTTTGGGTTTAGGGTTTAGGGGAGTCCAGGGTCGGGACGCGCTGAGGGTTTTAATGTAATGGGCCTTCATATTTAGAATAGGGTTTTGGGACCCCTTATACTAAAACTATAATAAGGAACCCCCAAAATAGTATAGGTAATTATTGAGGCCCCTCTTTTACACATGCACACACACACACACACACCGGTCCAGGGCTGTAGTAAAGGATACAAAGCTGCTTTTGGGTTTAGGGGCTTCATGTTTACAGGCCTTCGAGCTTGCGGCTCGGGTGGTTTGGGGAGGGGCTTCCGCCCACTTCGTTACTTTGGGGCTGCCTCACCTAGACCGAATAGAGGGGCCTTAAAAATAGAACAGGGTTTTGGGGCGCATGGTACTATATTCATTATAAGTAGCTCCCAAAATAGTATAGGTAGTATCGTAGAGGGGTCATCCTAAACTCTTAACCCCAAAACCGGAAGAAGGCCATCTGCCTTTATGCTCCCTGTACAATCATACTATCATCTACCCCACACCCAAGCCTGATAACCATGGCCACTATATGTTGAAGAAGACATATTCAAGAACTAGCAGAAGCATTCAACCTATAGTCCAGAACTGATGACATGTAATCTTCATTGTAATCGTTAATCTATGTATGATGCTTAGTCTTAAAAGTATGAGAAACGCTGATAAGGCCCAGTATAGCATAGTGTAACACTATAATATCATGGTGTACAAAGAGAGTACAATATAGTATAACACAACATCATACCACATAAAATAGGGTAAGGTGACACAATATAACATGATGACTGCTTCAACCTGATTTAAGTTGATAAGATCTCGCCTGATCTAATATAACACAAGATCGTATAATGTAGTACGGTTTTCTGGAATGTAGTATAGTGAAATAATACCAAACATAATACCGTAAAACAACCTAACCTAACATTACAACGCACAACATGGAATCACACAACATAAGACGGCACGACACGCCATAGCATAACAAAGGTATAACACACTATAGCAATACAGCACCACAGCTGTACCTCAAATTCAAAACATCATATAAGGTAAGATCGGGTAAGATATAAGATGAGGTGACAGAATATGAGATAATATGCTCCTTTTCTGAGTATAATGTATTCTAACACACGCTGAAGATCCCATAAGGCAGGCTGCTTTGCTTCTGCAGCCGGCCTTTGACTGGGCGAGTTTTTGCGTCTGCCAGATCTCAGGGAAGAGAATCCCCACGGCCTGGAGGAGGAGATCAGGGCCTTAAACAGAACCGGGTTTTGGGGGCCCATTATACTATACTATACTTGTACTATTTTGAAGCAGGAACTGGATTAGTGAGTGTCCAACCACACAAACGAGCGCACTTTTTGGTCTGAGCCCAAGACGTCTGTCGTACAGGGTGCGTTCAGATCTAACTCAAAAGACTACGCTCGCATGAGGACATGTCAACACGGCACTTCAAGACAGGGAAATTTCACACCCGTCTTATCTGTAGTGTGACGTCCGAATCATGCTCGAATTATGGCCGCTTTGGGCCAAGCCTACTTCACCGGATTATACCGGGAGCTTGCGCAGTCAACCGAGCCGAGTGCGGCGACTCAAGGCTCCAGGCTGAGTTCTTCAATCGCGAAGCGGAGTGCTTTCGGTACTCTCGGTATTCTGTGCGGCTTGCGCGGGCACATCGAGTACCTGAACGAGGTTGCGATCAATGCTGTGATTGATCAAAAGCGGTTTCATACTCTTAGTCAAACAATCCGCAAGTTGTAAATGCGTCGGTATCCATCTCAACTCATCGCCATAAGGATGGTACAGAGCGTGCGTTAGCTCGTCCTCTTCCCAAAGTCCTTGGCGAAGTCCGGACATCTCTATGGCAAGGCGTTTATCCTCGCAAGACTTTGGAATCGACGCTGTCAAGTGATCCGAAAGGGACCTGCAGTCCGTATACTGCAGGTGGAACATCGATCTCTTGGCGACTTCTTCCCAGTTCTGTGACCGGGGCAGTTTGCCGAGCAGTTCGAGTACTGCTGCTCGAATGCGGTCTCCATGCTCTATGGCATGTTGCAACGAGTAAGCCTCACACTGGAGTGTGGCGCGACAAACCCGTTTCATGGTGGACGAGGAGAACGAGATGAGGTGCATCTCATGCGTTGGCGCGTTCTTGTCCACCGCCGACTGTGCGGAAGTGAGGTAGTGGAAACGGCCTCTCTGCGACTTATGGTTCGCCTCTCCTGCAAAGGAGGCATCGCAAAATGTGACGACCGCCAGCTCCCCTGTATTCCAGGGTAACTTAGCGCTGTACGTGATCGGCCTATCCGCATCTCCTAACGCCAGTGCTACTACGCGGTTTGCCTCACGGAGCGTATCCACCGTGGCTGTCGTAACACGCTGCTGCAGGGCATTCACCCTATAGGCAAGATCAGGTCTCGTGGCGCGGGCCACCCAAGCCAGCGATCCTATGACGGATCTCAGCGCTGTGCGCTGGCCATTCGAGACTGGAGTCGTGCCCTTTTCAGACTTATGTATATCGATCGGGCGAATTGCACGCGTGTTGTCCCTACAGTTTATACTGATGGTCCCATCGGCGCTTTGCACATACTCGCGTCCGCAGAAACGGAACTTCTCAGTCTCTATGCGACCGATCTTAAACTTATCCAGCAGATTCTGGATAGCCGGCTCGCCTTCGGCGGTAGCAGCCCACAGGAAATCATCCACGTGGGTGCACAAGCAAGCGCACAAACGACCACCTTCTCCTGTAATATAGTACAGGGCTGACAGAATTTGCGAGGCATTTAAGCCAAATTCTCGGGCACTCTCCTTTATACGGAGGTAAAGGTTCCGACCCGCGTCGGTCGTGCCATACACGGGTACTCGGGCAATCATATGCCCGGCTCGCTGAATCTCTGCATCGGGCACACCCTTAGGGTGTTTAGGAACCCGAAGAATGAGGAGGCGCTCAAGGGGTTTCCCTTGGAAGTATGCGTTCGTTATATCGGCTGCTTTGAGCCGCAGGGCCAACGAAACCGCCCATGAACACAGAAGGGCTATACCTTCCGGCTCGGCCGTGGGGCTGTCTGCCCTGATATCCTCCTCATTCGAGATATGCTCGAAGTTTCCACATGCGACCAAGCGTGCTTTCCACTTGGGAGTGTATGCTGGCGTCCCCTTTAGGTGTTCATTCTTATCGGTGAGGACCCATTTGGTGGGAATACACACGTGGCCAGCCTTTGTAAGCTCCTTAAACTCCTTGTCTGTGCAAGGGACCACTGCGTTGAATT